AAAACCAAGACACAGTGTTTTGATTATGTCCTTGAAAAACCAGAATCTAATTACTATGGCTTTCCAAAACCAATACCTAAGCCTCCCTCCGATTATTTCTTTTCTTCTTAAAATGCAGAAGTGTTCAGAGATCAGTAAATAGAGCAGAAAATATTTCATTTTAAGTAAGAACATTCCATAAAAAATTGCCTTCCATCTATATCATATCATCAAAGAATATAAATACTAAAAACATGACTTTCTGCGCCAACTATGAGAGAGGCAAGGTGGATGAGGTAATATCAAGTTGGCCCAATAAAAGATATTACATCACCCACACCTTGTCTCTCTAATATCCTGGGACTGACATAACTACAACAAAACATGCCCAAACTATGTTATCAGAGAAAGATTAATAGTTTTCTTTCATGTGGTAAATATTTCATAACCTGGAACTTAAGTAGTAAATAGTCCTTTAAAGATTTTTTTCCTAGTCTACAACTAGATGTTAAACAGGGACAGACAACTACAATAGAATGCAAGGTGCCACTGAGAGTAGTTAGAAGCCCGAGGCCAAATTTTTCAATGTGAGTGCCTAAAGTTAGGTTTTTCAAGTCCATATTTAGGCCCATAAATAAGGGGCTTGATTTCCAAAGATGCTGAACACTCATCAGCTCCCACTAAAAGGGGCAGAAGCAGCCAAAGCAGGGACTGCTGCACTGGTGGGAGGTTGTAAAATGGAGTTGAGCAGGGGGGCTGGGAACTATACAGCAGAGAACAACACACAATATAGAGGCACTAGGACCCAGGCAATGCTTCCCCTCCACCCCACTATGTCATCCTGGGGGGAAACTGCAGAGAGAAACCCGTCAGAGTCTCCCGCTGGTTAGAGCAGAAGCAGGGACCCTCTGCACACTTAGAGCATTTTCTACACTTTTGACTGGACTTTCTCTACTCCAGTGGTTCTCAACCTGTGGCCTGCTTTTGGCCCAATCAGCGCAGAGCTACAGCCCATGTGACATCTTCAGGGCCATAGAGGTAGTATCGGATGCGGCCCACAATGGTAAATAGGTTGAGAACCACTGCTCTACCCTGGGCTGATTGGCTGTTTGCTTCAACCCTTTCCCTCCCTGCCAAGTTTCTTCACCTCAGCTTCACTCCACACCTGCCCCTTTTATCCTCTTCTCCCCTGCCCTGTCCCCCTCATTCCCCTTCCCTTTTCTTTCCATGTTGCTGATCCCCGCTTCACTAAACCCACCTCCCAAAAATGTTTCAATATGAGGTTTAGCATGGTTTCCTTCACTAGTGTTATCTGTTAGAAGGGCTAGTACCCCCAAAACAAGGGCTGAGCAAATAATTTATTTTTCAGTTTGGCCAGCAAACCAAAACTTCAGAAAAAAAATGGGTTCTGAAACTGTGGAAAGGGAGGAGTTACAGCCTTTAGCTTAGTGTTTAGGGCAGTGGTTCTCAAAGCCGGTTCGCCGCTTGTTCAGGGAAAGTCCCTGGCGGGCTGGGCTGGTTTGTTTACCTGCCGCATCTGCAGGTTCGGGCGATTGCGGCTCCCACTGGCCGCAGTTCGCCGCTCCAGGCCAATGGGGGCTGCGGAAAGGGCAGCCAGCACATCCCTCAGCCCGTGCCGCTTCCCGCAGCCCCCATTGGCCTGGAGCGGCAAACTGCGGCCAGTGGGAGCCGCGATCAGCTGAACCTGCGGACAGGTAAACAAACCGGATGGCCCGCCAGGGGCTTTCCCTGAACAAGCGGCGGACTGGCTTTGAGAACCACTGGTTTAGGGCACTTGCCTGGGATGTCCATCTTCCCTCTGCCTGATTCAGAGGAGGGATTTGAATCCACATCTGCTACCCTCCCAGGTGAGTGTCTGCATCACTAGGCTATAGAGTCATTTTCACTCTCTCTCTCTGGCACAGTGAATATTTATGTACAGTAGAACCTCAGAGTTACTAACACCAGAAAGCAACAAAGAGTCCTGTGGCACCTTATAGACTAACAGACGTATTGGAGCATAAACTTTCGTGGGTGAATACCCGCTTCGTCAGATGCATGTAACACCAGAGTTACAAACTGACCAGTCAACCACACACCTCATTTGGAACTGGAAGTACACAATCAGGCAGCAGCAAAGACCAAAAAAATAGGCGAATATAGTACAGTACTGTGTTAAACGTAAACTACTAAAAAAAAAAATAAAGGGAAAGTTTAAAAAAGATTTGACAAGGGAAGGAAACTGCTTCTGTGCTTGTTTCATCTAAATTAAGATGGTTAAAAGCAGCATTTTTCTTCTGCATAGTGAAGTTTCAAAGCTGTATTAAGTCAATGTTCACTTGTAAACTTTTGAAAGAACCACCATAATGTTTTGTTCAGAGTTACAAACATTCCAGAGTTACAAACAACCTCCATTCCCCAGGTGTTCATAACTCTGAAGTTCTACTGTAATTATACAAAGTGGAGCTGCTTCAACAGGAAAGACTGAGAGCAGGACAAAATAGCCAATAGCCTAGATTAGGGCACTCCCTCGGCAGGGGCCAGACTTGAAGTCCTTGCTCCAATGAATATGTAAGCATTTATACAAAGTGGATTAGCTTCAACAGGAGAGATTGAGATCAGCCTACCCTAGAATAGCCTATAGCCTGGTGGTTAGAGCACCCACCTGGGTTCAAGTCTCTGTTCCAGAATGAGTATTCTATCCTGAGTCCACCATGTTCCATACAAGTGTCCTGCCCACTGGACTAAAGGTGACAAGGGGGAACAAACACACACAGTCTCTTTTCTCAATCTAGACCTGGAAAACTTTTGATCAAACTTGCAAAAAGTTTTGGGTTGAGCAATATAGCATTTTTCAGCAAATACACCAAACAATTTTGCCCAGCTCTAGTGAAAGGTAACATATATTGTAGTTTATAGTAATGGTCCACAGTGGCTGAATAAACCTTGCTACAATGCTAATTAAATCGGGCTTATGTAAGGTTGCAGTCTGTGAATGACATGAAGCTACCTAATGTGTCGTTTTGGCAGCAGTAAGATTAGAAAAGCAAAACTTAAACCAGTTTCCAGCAATAGTTTTACTGGTTCAGAGGCATCCTCAAGAAAGAACTAACACAGCAATCATTAAATCATGTTCTATAGCAGGGGTCGGCAACGTTTGGCACGCGGCTCGCCAGGGTAAGCACCCTGGCGGGCCGGGCCAGTTTTATTTACCTGCTGACGCGGCAGGTTCGGCAGATCGCGGCCCCCACTGGCCGCGGTTCGCCATCCCGGGCCAATGGGGGCGGTGAGAAGCCGCGGCCAGCACATCGCTCGCCCCATTTCCCGCCGCCCCCATTGGCCCGGGACGGCGAACCACGGCCAGTGGGGGTCGCGATCGGCCGAACCTGCCGCGTCAGCAGGTAAATAAAACTGGCCCAGCCCACCAGGGTGCTTACCCTGGCGAGTCGCGTGCCAAACGTTGCCGACCCCTGTTCTATAGTATTTGTAACTGAGCACAGCTATAAAAACAGTTAATGGTATCTAGAATGAACATGCACTGTATGCTGACCTTACTGAAGAAAGTTAGTTGGAGAAGGCCCGTAAGATGCACCAAAAAATCCCTGAGGACAATAAATCCAATAAATCTATTTTAATGCAACACAAAAGTGCTGATCACTCTCCAATCTGCTGCACTCAGAGTAGGTTGTTGTTATTTCAGCAACACGTTTTCACTGTACTATGTTAAGGCACTTAAAGGATAATATTAAATCTTGCACAACAGTCTCTCTTCCATTACATGACTCACAGTTTTAGTCAAGATTATAAAAATCTGACACTTTTTCCTACCTAACAATCAACATCATCCTTCTTCCTTGTAGAACTTCCTGCTGAGGTGGCATTGCTACGGAGTCCAGCACAAAGTCAGGTCATGTTCAGATAAAAATATCTACCTCCCTACACATATCCACTTCAGGCTATTTTTTTCTCCAGACGCACATTCTCATAAACAGTTTTCTGTTTTTCTGATGACAGTTCAGGTATTTTAATGGGAGCCACACACCTAGATGGCTTATTTACCAACTGGCTAAGGAATTTAAATGAAGCAGAATACTAAGATCTGATCTGCCATTCTACGTCAACAAATTAAGTAAACATGCTCAGAACATTGCAAAACATAGTTCTTCAAACAGTCTGTAGGCACAGCTACGCCACCGCCTCAGGTAAAATGAGCTTTGACTTAAAATATCAGTGATCAAATAAACACAGAAAGCAGAAAAAAGATCATGAATAACACTGAGTGAAGGTAACTGCACAATATTGCTCTAAAAGAAAATGTTGGCGAGGAAAATACAATGCTATGTGACAATCACCATGTAACAGAGAAGTCACATTTGTAGCATGTGGACAGCTCTCTGTTCACTTTCTGTGACAATCAGGCCAGTGCATTTCACTAAGTCTTTGTCTATACTGAGGAAATTTTAAAATTGCATGAGTTGTAAACTGTTAAAACCAGTGATATCCCCAGTGTAGAGAAAGCTTGGACAGACAGACTCATTTTTACTACCATTTCATTAAGTGCTTTTCAAAAATGGTGGCAAAAATGGATCCCAGAGATCCCATTAATTTTAGTTCCCTTTCAACTGAACCGGTGAGAAAAGGTTTTGAAAATTTCCCCACTGTAAACATGGCCTAAGAAGTATCTGATCAAATCCTGCTGTCTTTCCCTTCGGTATAATTCTCTGTTGTACACACAATGGGTTACTGGATTCATGTTTCATTGGGTTGCCAGCAAAAACATTCTTCTCCCTCCCACCCCATACACAGTGTGTTTTTCTCATGTTGTTTTCTTTTAACGTACTCTTATCAAAGGCATCAGCAAAAAATGCAATGAAAAGAGAATGTGATGTTGTTCTGTTGGATGTTATTCAACATAAATCTAAATGAAGGAAGAGCATGGAGTCAATATTCATTCTATATAAAGCTAGCTAACAAGCTGCAGTGAAAAGAGCTCTTATTGCTTTCAGAAAGAACATATTTACCTTTCAACTTGAGGTCCACATTGTTCCTCAGCCAAGGATAAACTCCATAGTTTGACGAGTCTTCAGGAATGGGATTATTAGATGTCCAGCCATCACAGGCAAACCGATAAAAATTCTCACAGGGATCCACAGACTGGTTTATTTTACTTAAGATGGAGGCCGCTATAAAGTATCACATGGATTTATGGATTATTTTTAGCAAAACAGAAAATTATGCCAGATTATATTCCCAAAATGATAGTTAACATACGTCAGTTATCCAAGCAAGACTTTTCACCCTCATCTGAAGGATAAAGATCATTCCCTGGCTTGCTGTGGTCTTGCTGTTTCCAGAATCTAACTTTGCCCATACATCAACTAAATAACAGCCAAAATATTTGTGCATTCATTGTAATAACTAATTTGGACAAACCTGCCATTGATTGTTATGAGATGATCACTGCAGTCAGATCTACAAAAAAACTGAATTTATAGAACCTGAATAGAAATGGAATCTCCATCTTGCAAGGATAGAGTGAAGTCTATCTAGGCATTTAATATCAGAGCATGTCAAACAGGCTGTAATTAGCACACCCCAAAATTATACATTCTTTACCTGCAGCAGCATAGCACTAAAGGAAAATGTGTAAAATTCTTTATTACCTTTGAAGAGAGGAAAGAAAATACCTCCTGTTTAATCTTTATGACTGAATGCCCACTGATTATTATTAGAGATCAGACTCTTCTGATAAAGACATCAAGTCTAATAGTCAGTGGCTTTTAGAAAGTTTTTTTGAGCCATATAGCCAAACAATCCCTCTCCTGGTTATCAGTAAAAATCAAATTCCATAATAAATGATTATGGCATAAATATGCATGTGATAGCTAGATTATCTGATTTGGATGGCATGCATGGAATAGGATACTGAGCAGTTTTCTTGTCCCCACTTCACTATCAATCAGAATAGATTTGAAATCTAAAAAACACTGCTTCTCTCAGGCACAGAAGAAGCCACTTGCACCTATGATGGATATAACTCAAAAGATTCAGAGGTTCAGCTCAGTTTGGCTAAACATCCATACATTTTGAAGTTTATCCAAATAATTTTGCTCTGAAAGTTGGACCAAAAGCCTGATAAGATTCACAGGCTTTTTGTGGTAATAGTTCCAGTACCTGCTAGTTTTACTTAGGTTGGAATTGCCATTACAATAACTTTGTCAGTGTGGAATTTTTAAATGTTCATTGGATAACTACAAAGAGAGAAAGTTCGGGATTGGTTTGGTTGGAGTTTTGATGAAGGTTGGTTTGGTTCTTATTAAATCAGAACTGTCCCTATTTGCACCCTAAATAACATTACACTGTTTCTTCCTTCAAAGCGTCCAGCAAGCACACACAGGTTTGTAAAGAAATCAATAAAGCATACTCTAGGTTAGTCCAAAGATAGTCTTTGTCCTTTATAACACATGCAACCACCTCCTTTAACCTTCCCATACATTCAGCACTCCTCTGCACTCTACTTGTGATGTCTCAAATATTAGAGACAAAGTTGAACTAAAACTGAAACTCTGAACTCCCTTGAAAGTGAAGAGCCTAATCCATATCTGTACTGTATAGCTTGGGCCCATCTTTACTACATACACCTCTACCCCGATGTAATGCTGTCCTCGGGAGCCAAAAAAATCTTACCACGTTATAGGTGAAACTGTGTTATATCGAATTTGCTTTGATCCGCCGGAGTGCGCAGCCCCCCCTCCCCCCCGGAGCGCTGCTTTACCGCGTTATATCCAAATTCATGTTATATCGGGTCATGTTATATCGGGGTAGAGGTGTATAGTGCTTACTGGATGCTTTGCCCTTAGGCAATTATTGTACAGCTTTTGAATAGTTGTAAGACAAGCTGTGACCTAGACCTCAAGAATACACTGAAGGGATTCACTACTCATTGCTTTTTGAAGTAAGACTGTTGAGTCAAGTAGCTCTCCAGTTCTGACTCTGGACTCTGTGCAGTGTGCAAATTGTGCAGAATGACAATTTTTGTTGATCCAGCAAAAAAAATTAAGGTCAGTCATTCATTAGCACAACTAACAAACATAAGGTGCTACTATAAGGTGGGTGCATAACTGGCTGGATAACCGTACTCAGAG